TTGACTGTGCTGGGTGCTCACGATCCCGCACAAAGGCTACGTGTGTTTGAGTGTGTGCGTGTGTGTGTGTGTGTGTGTGTGTGTACATGATAGTTACATGGCACACCTTGAATACAAGGTACATACCTCTTATTCAAAGGTACCTTCTATTCAAAAATTTAACAGCGATTTCTGAGAACATGCTTTTCAGAAGTAACTTGAATACAAGGTACTTACCTTGTTTTCGGGTTTAGACGATAGTTTTAGTGAAATCTCGATGTTTGTGACATTTGAGCTCAAGCACACAGTGGCACTGGTGGGTTAGTCCTCCACTAGCGTGCATCATGTGCTGCATGGCATTTTTTGGACTTCCTGGTTGATAACAGAAAGTTCATTTATAGGAGATGGTAGATAATGTTTCTCTGTCTTTGAGATAATGTTTCTCTGTTTTTGTGCTATGGAAGAGGTGACATTCAGTCACTTGGACAGGTTGACAGGATGACAACGTGTTCAACACATTTCATCCAAACAATCTGACACTCACAGTCGAGAACTCGTGACATTGCAGAATGTAAGATGCAAGCGGAGAAAACTTTTCCTTAATTTGAATTCAATACAACAAAACTTTTCCTTAATTTGAATTCAATACAACGGGTCATGAATGATAGGAGTCGGTGGGAATCCAAAACCTTGCTGGTGTGGATACAACAAAATTTTGTTCTCGGGCAAGTAACAGTCATAAAGTGGCCACCGTAATTGTTAGTCTACAGCGGTTGGACTTCAATTCCTTGGTCAGTCCTGCAATTGCGCTATAAGCCCTGACTCTGCAGAACCAGTACAGGCCGAAAGGTTTCTCTGACATGTTTTTTTCATAAGTCAACCACTGACGAATTGAGTGAATCTGCCCGGTGAGTTCGCCACGGCTTTCTGGAGACAGGGCAGCAGAACAAACTCTCTCTCTCTCTCTCTCTCTCTCTCTCTCTCTCTCTCTCTCTCTCTCTCTCCTTTCTTTTTCTTTTTTTTTTTTTTTTTTCAAAGCGGATAAATCTCTGTAGCTTTTCATTTGGTTGTTTTCCCTCTTTATTTTTCCGTTTTTTGTTCTTAGAATGTCGTTCGTTTCATTATTTTCTTTTTTCTTTTCTATGATTTCAGAATCGGCGTTTTTCCTGCTACCCTTAGCATCCGGTAGCTTGAGGCTCGGTAAGGCTTGACATACCAGTAGTCGAGGGTCGGACTTGATAGCTGGGGAAGGTACTGGTGGTTTAATCTGATACTCTTATCACCACCGTGGTGTGTAGGCTTACTACGCCTACGAACCCAATCGGTGAGTGGAATCATAAAATGACTAGCGGCCAGTGGGAAACCAAACGTGGTTCATTGAAAAATGTCATGAGACCAAAACTGCACTGCTTAGCGAGGAAAGTAATTTAAAATTCTGTGCTTTGATTAGCCATTGGACATTGTGTGGCCAAACGGGATCTTCAGTGTAATGCAGGGAGAAAGTGGCCATCAGAAGATGTCATGGTGGGACAATTTCTTACCTTCAAAATGTAGGCTCGATCATGAAAGGGATGTGTGACAAGCAAAGAAGTTTGTCATTTTTCCCGCTGCCAGGGAAACTGGTGTTCGGTTCCGGCCAAACTGCTGAGAACCCGACGGGCCGAAGGTTCAGCCCCACTTCGGAGACGCGAGCAGCCAAAACCGAACGCCGACAAAAAAGGAAAAACGTAACCCTAAGGGGAAAAAAAAACAAGTTAAAAAAAATATGTATGTTATGTAGAAAAATAAACTGAAAACCTTATGCCTTGGGGTCACACCTAAATTGCTTATCAAATTTAAAATACGAAAAAAAAGACTCCCACACATTAGTGTGTGTGACTCTCTCTCTCTCTCTCTCTCTCTCTCTCTCTCTCTCTCTCTCTCTCTCTCTCCCTCTCTGTGTGTCTCTCTCGCCCCCCCCTCGTCTAGTTTTGCCGATTCCCGAACTTTTGATGAGGCCGGGGCCGACAGCAGCCGCCGTTGATAAATCTGATTGGCGGCCGTCGTTTAGAGTTTGTCCTCCTGAAAGGTCTGTGGCCTACTATTTACCAAAAACAAAATACTGAGTGGAAAAAAAAAAAAAGACTGGGCGAGCACATAGCTGACATTGCCATCTTTGGCTTTTTTTCTTTTTTTTTTGGATCAGCCAAATGCCCGGAAAAATTATAGGCAGTTCGGCCCCCTCAGGTTCGAGTGGGTAACCCTGCCCGGTGCTATACATATAAATTGGGCATATTTGGCATGCCTTAATACCAAAGCAGCCCAAACCATGAAACAAAAGGGAACGTGAAACAAGCAGAGGTAGAACAGGTTTAAAAATCACTCACCCCGACGGTTGCCTCATACAGCTTATTCATGGCAACATCTGCTGAAATGTCCAGTGTAAGCATCATAACAGCAAGACAAGTGCCTTCCAGGCGTCTTCATGATACATCTTACCCACAGATAGTCAACAGATCGACAGTTAAACCTTGCTGGAGGCCAACGTAGGATCGTGGGCGATCCCCCTTCACCTAAACAACCAAAGAGAAGGAGAAACCAGCGGACAAGACAAGAGTGCCTAAGACAGAGGCAGCTGACATATGCAGATGTCGTTGGCTGACAACCAGACTCCACGAGCAATAGCGTCACTGCCTCGTCTTCTCCCCAGTACCTACTGGTTCGGTAGCCGGCGGACAAAAACTGATCACAACTCCGATGCACCGCAACTATGACAACATGGTATTGAAGTCGATGGATCTGCAGTCCGTCGGGACATCCGTTGAAGTTGGAACAATACAGAGAAGGAAGATCAGCATGGGCCCTGAGAGAGGATGACACGTGTAAATCGAGAAATGGTTCCAAAAAGGAAAAACGGGATCCATACAAGAGGTGGATGAATCGCCTCTCAAGCTGAAACAACGAGTTGGCCCTGCTTCATAAGGGGGTCGGCAGTCAAAAGACAAGCAGGAATCCGAACAACCAACGGGCTTCAAACAGACTCAACTTATATTCATCAGTCTTTTTCATTCAAGCGTTGACTAACGGATTCACCGAAACAGAACACCCAGTCATGACAAGCTGTATTTGGCCTTACCTTCAGTCCTGATGGAGTGATACTAACTTTGGGCATTCTATTTGGGTGAAGACAGCAATGGCAAGGTAGGAGTCGACCAACGATAGAGAATATACCACATCTTATAGAGTTCTGCAGACCAGCATGGAACTTTCCCTAGGATCCTATAGAGTTCTGCAGACCAAGCGTGCACATCAGTGAACATCAGACAAAGAAGTTGTCTCACAAACCACTCAGGAGTCTTCTTTCTGTAAGGGGAAAAAAGATATCATCCCCCTCAAAGACGACACACATCGGCATACATACATATTATTCCTGATTCTCGCAGGATGAACACTTTCCATGCACCGTATGGATGATGAATTTCATAATTGGGTAAGGGAATGCCCTCAAGGACACTTGGCAGTGCACTCTTCGGGATCAGGTACAAGCGACCTGTGTTTCCACTAACAATTTTTTTTAGAAAGGAGCATACTCCTCATGGACGATTGCTGGCACATACATGGCTATAGAGGTGTCGGCAGAGAGTCAATCTCTTAAACCAGCACCCTTTCTGCACGTATTCTGTTGAACCTGGTTTTCCAGGCATGGAGGGTCGGGCGTACTGTGTCACAGCAGGAGAGGCAATCAGATGGCTTTTTGTTTTTGGACAATCGCATGCATTTAATTTTTAAACGGTCGGGCTTTTTTTTGTTCTTGTTTTTCCACGACACACATCAGCGCATATCCTACATCCATGGATTTCTCCTCTTTAAGAGAAAAGAACTAAGAATCACCAGATTGGGGAGGAACACTCCAACTCTCGCTCCCCCCTTGGCAACCACCCTGCGCCCTGTGGGCCTGACATCCCCACTGCCACTGTGTGCGCTGCCACAGGACCCGTTCGCCATCAGAAAACCGGTAGTGGTCTAAGTGGGTCTGCAGACCCAGAGCGCAGTCCATGGTAGTTTAGTGGTCATAACCCTGCGGGCAGAGTCACACTAGGAGTTTTGTGCCTAACTTCGGACATAATTGCAGTCGGTTCAGCCGAAACTGCCGTCAGATACATTTACACCCTGAGTGTCCATTTCCTCTACAACTAAAATGGAGGTAAACACAAGGGAACATGAAGAGCAGCTGGAAGGCAG